AGGAACGCGTTTTCGGCCTCTGGTCATCATAGATTCTATTTTGCTCTGAGGATAACCTGAGGCTGAAAACGCGCTCAGCAATCTATTTTTCAATGTGTTTTTTCTGCATACCTTATGTGTATGTATATATGTATATATATATATATATATATAACTGAAAACTCACACCCCAGAAGTGACTCGAACCCATACTCCCACAACTGGTATGTACAGGGACGCCTTAATCCGCTTGACCATCACGACCGGACATAAGGAAGTGATAGCCGAGGCTATATGAACCACTTCCCCGCCGGCACTCGGATGGTAATCTTGGGCATAGCATTTTATCAAATCACCTCATTCTTTGGGGCACACGTGAGGAACACAAATGCAAACAAGCCTGAATGGTCCCCAGGACTATATACAACTGAAAACTCACACCCCAGAAGTGACTCGAACCCATACTCCCACAACTGGTATGTACAGGGACGCCTTAATCCGCTTGACCATCACGACCGGACATAAGGAAGTGATAGCCGAGGCTATATGAACCACTTCCCCGCCGGCACTCGGATGGTAATCTTGGGCATAGCATTTTATCAAATCACCTCATTCTTTGGGGCACACGTGAGGAACACAAATGCAAACAAGCCTGAATGGTCCCCAGGACTATATACAACTGAAAACTCACACCCCAGAAGTGACTCGAACCCATACTCCCACAACTGGTATGTACAGGGACGCCTTAATCCGCTTGACCATCACGACCGGACATAAGGAAGTGATAGCCGAGGCTATATGAACCACTTCCCCGCCGGCACTCGGATGGTAATCTTGGGCATAGCATTTTATCAAATCACCTCATTCTTTGGGGCACACGTGAGGAACACAAATGCAAACAAGCCTGAATGGTCCCCAGGACTATATACAACTGAAAACTCACACCCCAGAAGTGACTCGAACCCATACTCCCACAACTGGTATGTACAGGGACGCCTTAATCCGCTTGACCATCACGACCGGACATAAGGAAGTGATAGCCGAGGCTATATGAACCACTTCCCCGCCGGCACTCGGATGGTAATCTTGGGCATAGCATTTTATCAAATCACCTCATTCTTTGGGGCACACGTGAGGAACACAAATGCAAACAAGCCTGAATGGTCCCCAGGACTATATACAACTGAAAACTCACACCCCAGAAGTGACTCGAACCCATACTCCCACAACTGGTATGTACAGGGACGCCTTAATCCGCTTGACCATCACGACCGGACATAAGGAAGTGATAGCCGAGGCTATATGAACCACTTCCCCGCCGGCACTCGGATGGTAATCTTGGGCATAGCATTTTATCAAATCACCTCATTCTTTGGGGCACACGTGAGGAACACAAATGCAAACAAGCCTGAATGGTCCCCAGGACTATATACAACTGAAAACTCACACCCCAGAAGTGACTCGAACCCATACTCCCACAACTGGTATGTACAGGGACGCCTTAATCCGCTTGACCATCACGACCGGACATAAGGAAGTGATAGCCGAGGTATATAGTTGTATATATTCATACATATAGTTGTATGTATGTATAGTTGTATACAGTTGTATATAGTCCTGGGGACCATTCAGGCTTGTTTGCATTTGTGTTCCTCACGTGTGCCCCAAAGAATGAGGTGATTTGATAAAATGCTATGCCCAAGATTACCATCCGAGTGCCGGCGGGGAAGTGGTTCATATAGCCTCGGCTATCACTTCCTTATGTCCGGTCGTGATGGTCAAGCGGATTAAGGCGTCCCTGTACATACCAGTTGTGGGAGTATGGGTTCGAGTCACTTCTGGGGTGTGAGTTTTCAGTTGTATATAGTCCTGGGGACCATTCAGGCTTGTTTGCATTTGTGTTCCTCACGTGTGCCCCAAAGAATGAGGTGATTTGATAAAATGCTATGCCCAAGATTACCATCCGAGTGCCGGCGGGGAAGTGGTTCATATAGCCTCGGCTATCACTTCCTTATGTCCGGTCGTGATGGTCAAGCGGATTAAGGCGTCCCTGTACATACCAGTTGTGGGAGTATGGGTTCGAGTCACTTCTGGGGTGTGAGTTTTCAGTTGTATATAGTCCTGGGGACCATTCAGGCTTGTTTGCATTTGTGTTCCTCACGTGTGCCCCAAAGAATGAGGTGATTTGATAAAATGCTATGCCCAAGATTACCATCCGAGTGCCGGCGGGGAAGTGGTTCATATAGCCTCGGCTATCACTTCCTTATGTCCGGTCGTGATGGTCAAGCGGATTAAGGCGTCCCTGTACATACCAGTTGTGGGAGTATGGGTTCGAGTCACTTCTGGGGTGTGAGTTTTCAGTTGTATATAGTCCTGGGGACCATTCAGGCTTGTTTGCATTTGTGTTCCTCACGTGTGCCCCAAAGAATGAGGTGATTTGATAAAATGCTATGCCCAAGATTACCATCCGAGTGCCGGCGGGGAAGTGGTTCATATAGCCTCGGCTATCACTTCCTTATGTCCGGTCGTGATGGTCAAGCGGATTAAGGCGTCCCTGTACATACCAGTTGTGGGAGTATGGGTTCGAGTCACTTCTGGGGTGTGAGTTTTCAGTTGTATATAGTCCTGGGGACCATTCAGGCTTGTTTGCATATATATATATATATATATACATATATATATATATATATATATATATATATATATATATATATCAGTAACCAGTATGAAGTAAATCCCCCAATTTCAGTTCTTGATATATATGCAGTATTATCTCACTCGTGTCAACACGTGCTATAATTTTTCCTGATGAAATGAGAAACTAGTATTATTACCTATATATGTAAAGAAAAACTGCTCTACTAAAGTTTGTCAAACTTGAGAAACTTGAGAAATGTCTCCTCGTCTCTCACAGCTCCAGGTCTGGCCACACCACTGGGTAAAATATTCACTTAATTTCTATTTGAACCTCCCTTATCCTGGAATTTGTATATTGTTCCTTCTTGGTAGGTATCAAAGTCCTGGCAGGTCAGCAGTGGCCTTGTTCTTAAACCAATGCTAATTTCTTTTGCTAATATTAATTCATAGAGGCGAACTTGGATTATGTTTGAGACATAATTTTGTTGCTAAGCGTCGGTAATCAACCAAACTTTTGTTGTGTCGCTCAGAAGTTCAGTACAGTTTTCTGCCGGAGTTGGAGGAGGGTGAGGGCGTGGGAGCCTGTCTCTAGGTCGACGTTGGGTTGAGGTAACTTTGGGTGACGTTATCGTCTCTGGTAAATATCTTCATGCGAAAGAGATGACAGTTTGTTATTAGCTGATGGCACTTGTCATGGGTAGAGGCAGAGGACATTTGTCATGGGTAGAGGCAGAGGACATTTGTCATGGGTACAGGCAGAGGACACTTGTCATGGGTAGAGGCAGATGACACTTGTCATGCGTACAGGCAGAGGACACTTGTCTTGGGTAGAGGCAGAGGACATTTGTCATGGGTACAGGCAGAGGACACTTGTCATGGGTAGAGGCAGTTGACACTTGTCATGGGTAGAGGCAGTTGACACTTGTCATGGGTAGAGGCAGAGGACACTTGTCATGGGTAGAGGCAGTTGACACTTGTCATGGGTAGAGGCAGTTGACACTTGTCATGGGTAGAGGCAGAGGACACTTGTCATGGGTAGAGGCAGAGGACACTTGTCATGGGTAGAGGCAGTTGACACTTGTCATGGGTAGAGGCAGTTGACACTTGTCATGGGTAGAGGCAGTTGACACTTGTCATGGGTAGAGGCAGTTGACACTTGTCATGGGTAGAGGCAGTTGACACTTGTCATGGGTAGAGGCAGTTGACACTTGTCATGGGTAGAGGCAGTTGACACTTGTCATGGGTAGAGGCAGTTGACACTTGTCATGGGTAGAGGCAGTTGACACTTGTCATGGGTAGAGGCAGAGGACACTTGTACGCGCACAGTCCTGAATCAGCTCCTTACATCATTACGTATCGAGAACGTGGCGGCCTACAGAAAGGCAGACAGGGAATGCAGGTGAACCACAGAGAGAGACATGAGGCAGAAGATGAAGACAGAGACAGAAATACTTAGAGATTGCAAATATATATAGAAAGACAGAGCGAGTGAGTGAAAGTATCCCCCTATCAGAGTCCTCTCTTACGCCTTCTGGAAGATTTAACGAAAACAGTGTAATTGAGGCCTGAAATGCACAAAGAGAAAGTTGTTCAAATAATACGTTTGACGGCATAGCTTATAACGTGTATAAGCTTAGTTTGCTGTCAGGCCTGACCACCGCCAAAGGGGTTATAAAGGATACAACAATAGCTCACTGAGCAACAGGCAAGTGTATATAGCCTGGAATGTAGTTGAAGAGTGAAGTTAACTTTCAGTGTATTACTCTGTGAGTGTAGTGGAATGAAACTCTTGGTGTGTGTGTATATATATATCCTTTCGTCCGGCGACTGCATCTCCCTGCTGTATATATACTTAGGGTTGCGTTCAGTTGATTATTCAACATACATCAGAGTGCAAAAATACGACTTTTAACATCAGTTTTTTTTTAATTTTTTAATCATCGAGCAACAATACGGCACAATTAATTTTAGCCAGGTAAATGGATATTCCTTAAAAATAATAAAAATTTACCGTATTGCATTTTGAACTCTCACGTGATGTTACCCACTCTAAAATCATTCCTCAAAAAAGACTTAGACTTTTTGGCAGTAAACGTAACATATGACAATATTAAACGATATTGATGGCTTCAGTAGCTATTTCGGCCCAGACTCCCCTCCCTCCCCCCCCCCTCCCCCTCCTGGTCGCAGAGACCGTCTCTCCTTGTTCATCTTGAACATAGTAAAGGAGACTGAGCCTGCCACACTCGGTAGACATTTGTCTATCTTAATTTTTTATTACCATAGTAAGGAGAGCGAGGGAGGTGGAGCTGCTTCGTCTTACACAAGTGCAGGATTACTTGAGGAGAAATAGTGGAAACAGCAGTTTCTTTATGACAGTTGAATTATGCTGAAGTCCCTGCAAAAGAGCAGCAGTAAAGCTGTAGTCTCTGCGGACTAGCAGTAGCAGAACAATAACAGGAGTAAGCAGAAACACCAGCAACAGTAGCAGTGGCCGCAAGACCAGCAGTAGCAGCAACAGTAGCAGTGGCTGCACGACCAGCAGTAGCAGCAACAGTAGCAGTGGCCGCACGACCAGCAGTAGCAGCAACAGTAGCAGTGGCCGCACGACCAGCAGTAGCAGCAACAGTAGCAATGGCCGCAAGACCAGCAGTAGCAGCAACAGTAGCAGTGGCCGCAAGACCAGCAGTAGCAGCAACAGTAGCAGTGGCCGCACGACCAGCAGTAGCAGCAACAGTAGCAATGGCCGCAAGACCAGCAGTAGCAGCAACAGTAGCAGTGGCCGCAAGACCAGCAGTAGCAGCAACAGTAGCAGTGGCCGCACGACCAGCAGTAGCAGCAACAGTAGCAGTGGCCGCACGACCAGCAGTAGCAGCAACAGTAGCAGTGGCCGCAAGACCAGCAGTAGCAGCAACAGTAGCAATGGCCGCAAGACCAGCAGTAGCAGCAACAGTAGCAGTGGCCGCACGACCAGCAGTAGCAGCAACAGTAGCAGTGGCCGCACGACCAGCAGTAGCAGCAACAGTAGCAATGGCCGCAAGACCAGCAGTAGCAGCAACAGTAGCAGTGGCCGCACGACCAGCAGTAGCAGCAACAGTAGCAGTGGCCGCACGACCAGCAGTAGCAGCAACAGTAGCAATGGCCGCAAGACCAGCAGTAGCAGCAACAGTAGCAGTGGCCGCAAGACCAGCAGTAGCAGCAACAGTAGCAGTGGCCGCACGACCAGCAGTAGCAGCAACAGTAGCAGTGGCCGCAAGACCAGCAGTAGCAGCAACAGTAGCAGTGGCCGCACGACCAGCAGTAGCAGCAACAGTAGCAGTGGCCGCACGACCAGCAGTAGCAGCAACAGTAGCAGTGGCCGCAAGACCAGCAGTAGCAGCAACAGTAGCAGTGGCCGCACGACCAGCAGTAGCAGCAACAGTAGCAGTGGCCGCACGACCAGCAGTAGCAGCAAAACCTGCAGTGCAGCAGTAACAGCAGGACCAGCAGTAGCAGTGGCCCCAGGACCAGCAGTAGCAGTGGCCGCGGGACCAGCAGTAGCAGTGCCGCAGGACCAGCAGTAGCAGTGGCCGCAGGACCAGCAGTTGCAGTGGCCGCGGGACCAGCAGTAGCAGTGGCCCCATGACCAGCAGTAGCAGTGGCCCCAGGACCAGCAGTAGCAGTGGCCGCAGGACCAGCAGTAGCAGTGGCCGCGGGACCAGCAGTAGCAGTGACCGCAGGACCAGCAGTAGCAGTGGCCGCGGGACCAGCAGTAGCAGTGGCCGCAGGACCAGCAGTAGCAGTGGCCCCATGACCAGCAGTAGCAGTGGCCCCAGGACCAGCAGTTGCAGTGGCCGCGGGACCAGCAGTAGCAGTGGCCGCGGGACCAGCAGTAGCAGTGGCCGCGGGACCAGCAGTAGCAGTGGCCCCAGGACCAGCAGTAGCAGTGGCCGCAGGACCAGCAGTAGCAGTGGCCCCAGGACCAGCAGTAGCAGTGGCCCCATGACCAGCAGTAGCAGTGGCCGCAGGACCAGCAGTAGCAGTGGCCGCGGGACCAGCAGTAGCAGTGGCCGCAGGACCAGCAGTAGCAGTGGCCGCAGGACCAGCAGTAGCAGTGGCCCCAGGACCAGCAGTAGCAGTGGCCCCAGGACCAGCAGTAGCAGTGACCGCAGGACCAGCAGTAGCAGTGACCGCAGGACCAGCAGTAGCAGTGGCCGCAGGACCAGCAGTAGCAGTGGCCCCAGGACCAACAGTAGCAGTGGCCCCATGACCAGCAGTAGCAGTGACCGCAGGACCAGCAGTAGCAGTGGCCGCAGGACCAGCAGTAGCAGTGGCCGCAGGACCAGCAGTTGCAGTGGCCGCAGGACCAGCAGTAGCAGTGACCGCAGGACCAGCAGTAGCAGTGACCGCAGGACCAGCAGTTGCAGTGGCCCCAGGACCAGCAGTAGCAGTGGCCCCATGACCAGCAGTAGCAGTGACCGCAGGACCAGCAGTAGCAGTGGCCGCAGGACCAGCAGTAGCAGTGGCCCCAGGACCAGCAGTAGCAGTGGCCCCATGACCAGCAGTAGCAGTGGCCGCAGGACCAGCAGTTGCAGTGGCCGCAGGACCAGCAGTAGCAGTGACCGCAGGACCAGCAGTAGCAGTGACCGCAGGACCAGCAGTTGCAGTGGCCCCAGGACCAGCAGTAGCAGTGGCCCCATGACCAGCAGTAGCAGTGGCCGCGGGACCAGCAGTAGCAGTGACCGCAGGACCAGCAGTAGCAGTGGCCCCAGGACCAGCAGTTGCAGTGGCCCCATGACCAGCAGTAGCAGTGGCCGCGGGACCAGCAGTAGCAGTGGCCCCATGACCAGCAGTTGCAGTGGCCCCATGACCAGCAGTAGCAGTGGCCGCAGGACCAGCAGTAGCAGCAAAACCTGCAGTGCAGCAGTAACAGCAGGACCTACAGTACTAGGAGGACCTAAAATGCATCAGGAGTAGTGGCAGCCGCAGCAGGCAGCCAGCCCCTCCATCAGGTCGGGATGAGACACCAAGACCCTCCTACCTTCCCTTACTTCTTAATGAAGATCAACGTTCACATCAACTCTCTCACGGGAGGCGAGCACACACCTAACGGGTTTAATTATTATCCTCACGCTAGCTTACAAAGGCATCAGGCGATATGCTTGCTGATAGCCAGTGTTACTAAAACATGATTTATAACCTAATTTACGCTTGTCTGGGACCAAGGAATGGTAATATGGTTTCCAGCTCGCGAGATAAACCGGTTTGACTTCTATTTCCTCAGTATCTGTCTTAATTTACTTGACGCTTGAGCTGCACTTGGTTAATTCATCGCCAAGAGGAAGGAATATGTTTTTTTTGGGGTAGAGAGACGTGAGTGATCAATGTCTGTGCTCTTGAGTGTCGTGAAGGATGACATTCTGCACTCTGGACTTTGCTTGTAACAGAGGTCAGGTTAATGAGTGACCACTGGAGTATACTTGCTCTGTTGGCAACAGTTGAGAATGACAGAAGTGTGAGGGGTGGCAGTAGAGTGTGAGGGGTGACAGTAGAGTGTGAGGGGTGACAGTAGAGTGTGAGGGTGGCAGTAGAGTGTGAGGGGTGACAGTAGAGTGTGAGGGGTGACAGTAGAGTGTGACGGGTGGCAGTAGAGTGTGAGGGGTGACAGTAGAGTGTGAGGGGTGGCAGTAGAGTATGAGGGGTGACAGTAGAGTGTGAGGGTGGCAGTAGAGTGTGAGGGGTGACAGTAGAGTGTGAGGGGGTGGCAGTAGAGTGTGAGGGGTGGCAGTAGAGTGTGAGGGGTGGCAGTAGAGTGTGAGGGTGACAGTAGAGTGTGAGGGTGGCAGTAGAGTGTGAGGGGTGACAGTAGAGTGTGAGTGTGACGGGTGGCAGTAGAGTGTGAGGGGTGACAGTAAAGTGTGAGGGGTGGCAGTAGAGTGTGAGGGGTGACAGTAGAGTGTGAGGGTGACAGTAGAGTGTGAGGGTGGCAGTAGAGTATGAGGGGTGACAGTAGAGTGTGAGGGTGGCAGTAGAGTGTGAGGGGTGACAGTAGAGTGTGAGGGTGACAGTAGAGTGTGAGGGGTGGCAGTAGAGTGTGAGGGGTGACAGTAGAGTGTGAGGGGTGACAGTAGAGTGTGAGGGGTGACAGTAGAGTGTGAGGGGTGGCAGTAGAGTGTGAGGGGTGGCAGTAGAGTGTGAGGGGTGACAGTAGAGTGTGAGGGGTGACAGTAGAGTGTGAGGGGTGGCAGTAGAGTGTGAGGGGTGACAGTAGAGTGTGAGGGTGACAGTAGAGTGTGAGGGTGACAGTAGAGTGTGAGGGGTGGCAGTAGAGTGTGAGGGTGGCAGTAGAGTGTGAGGGGTGACAGTAGAGTGTGAGGGGTGACAGTAGAGTGTGAGGGTGGCAGTAGAGTGTGAGGGGTGGCAGTAGAGTGTGAGGGGTGGCAGTAGAGTGTGAGGGGTGACAGTAGAGTGTGAGGGTGACAGTAGAGTGTGAGGGGTGACAGTAGAGTGTGAGGGGTGACAGTAGAGTGTGAGGGTGACAGTAGAGTGTGAGGGGTGACAGTAGAGTGTGAGGGGTGACAGTAGAGTGTGAGGGTGACAGTAGAGTGTGAGGGGTGACAGTAGAGTGTGAGGGGTGACAGTAGAGTGTGAGGGGTGACAGTAGAGTGTGAGGGGTGACAGTAGAGTGTGAGGGGTGACAGTAGAGTGTGAGGGTGACAGTAGAGTGTGAGGGTGACAGTAGAGTGTGAGGGGTGGCAGTAGAGTGTGAGGACAATGGTATATATATAAAATGAATCAGGACGTGTCGGCCTGTCATTGGGTCCCTCTTTACAGCTTAAGATTTGATAAGCGTTCTCATCACCACGGGCCGGAATTCATCACCTTTATTTCGCTTCATATATGTGATGATTAATATAGATTAAGCCACCGAAGAGAAGATCATATATATATATATATATATATATATATATATATATATATATATATATATATATATATATATATATATATATATATATATATGTGTGTGTGTGTTGGGATATTCGTTTTAGCCTCGTTATTGTCGACTTATTCTCTCTCTATAGGTAGTTTAGATGGTGTTTATAATATATAGCGGTGCTTTAAGAGGGTGTTCACTCTACGTAAGCTCTTTAAATGGTGTTTACTATCCGTAGGGTAATTGTGCCCAGTGACGGAACGCTGACATGGTTATCTTGAGAGGTTATCTTGAGATGATTTCGGGGCTTTAGTGTCTCGGCGGCCCGGTCCTCGACCAGGCTCCCACCCCCAGGAAGCAGCCCGTGACAGCTGACTAACACCCAGGTACCTATTTTCCTGCTAGGTAACAGGGGCATAGGATGAAAGAAACTCTGCCCATTGTTTCTCGCCGGCGCTTGGGATCGAACCCAGGACCACAGGATCACAAGTCCAGCGTGCTGTCCACTCGGCCGACCGACTCCCTAAAGCCATGGTTAAAGGAAGACGTACCCTTGTGTAGTTATTTAAGCTCGATGACCATGCCATGGTAGGGGTCTCGTAGCCTGGTGGATAGCGCGCAGTAGGGGTCTCGTAGCCTGGTGGATAGCGCGCAGGAATCGTAATTCTGTGGCGCGGGTTCGATTCCCGCACGAGGCAGAAACAAATGGGCAAAGTTTCTTTCACCCTGAATGCTTCTGTTACCTAGCAGTAAATAGGTACCTGGGTGTTAGTCAGCTGTCACGGGCTGCTTCCTGGGGGTGGAGGCCTGGTCGAGGACCGGGCCGCGGGGACACTAAAAAGCCCCGAAATCATCTCAAGATAACCTCAAGATATGCCTCCGGTGCCCTATTATTTTCTCCTTAATTTCTTCGATCAGTTACGGTTTGCTAAGGGTCCAGGAAGGACCCAAACATCGGCACCTTTATTTCATACGTGTAGGGATATTTGCTATTTATTTTCAAACCGGATTATTATGATTTATTCTCGGCAATTTAAGACGTTACCCTTCTTCTGGCAAATGTGAGACAACAAAGGTCTCATTGCCATACCTCTAACAAGTTAGCTGATAGATGACGAACACGATATTAAGGGAACTCGCTGAATTTACCAGAAAGTACAAGGATATTGACATATGCGTCAATATCCATATGTATCAATATCATCATACATCAATATCCATACATCAATATCGTTTATAACCACAATATTGACATATTGTGGTTATAAATAGGAGCTGCCTCGTATGGGCCAATAGGCCTTCTGCAGTTGCCTTTGTTCTTATGTTATGTTCTTATGCATCTTACTCATCGCCGTGGGTAACCTTGAGGCAACCCCATGAGTACCGTCTGGCTTCTGGACCCCGGACAGCAAGTGAGTTTCTTGGGTGAAATGCCGTTACTCCTTCTTGAATAGCGGGACTGTCGCCACTGTTCCGTTACATTGTGCCGTTACGCAATCAGTGTTCAATTTACGCCGAGAATATGGATGAAAACGCGACACTGTTGCCCGGGTAATGAACACAGACTGCAACAGTATTGTGTGTTAGTGCTCGCCACTGATGCTCGGCACAAATCAGCAGAAAATTGCTGCCAATGAAAATTATAGCTGCAATTTGCAGGTGGGCTGAACTGGTTTGTTAGTTAGTACACGTGTTGTATAATCGACT